TGGAAAGGCCAATATGGTATTTTTAGAAGGATTACAATTTTCTTTTTGTGCGTGGTATTTTTTCACCGCTGGGAAGAGCTTAATTTCTAAATCACTTGCGTTTTAGCCTCTACTAATTTCGGTAAACTTTTTTCATGAATAACTTTTTCAAAAGACATGTCAATTTACTCTCTTTTTATTTGCTTTTGTTTGAGAAAATAGTGTGATAAATATCTTTCATTAATTGTCCCGTGAGATAAATCAATCAAAAACGTTTTAGGGTCCACTGAATCTTTATTATACCGGAACTAATTGTCCCTATATCTTACTTGAGCAGATTCCATTGGTTTGTAAGGGTACATAGTTCCAGCGAAAAATGTGTATAGAGTTGATCGGTTTAACGTCGGTTATAAAGGTCATGTGAGGTTTTTTTTAGCTTTGTATCAATCTGATCAGTCAACCCCTTTTCAACTGGTTTTTACAAAAAGTTCTTACATAATAGAAAAGAAATGATAAGGGATATCCATCCATGACACAAAGTAAGTTCATGCACAGCAAAAACACAAAAAGCAAAGGAACAACGCTTGTATTGATGTACGTTCCGCTTTAACACCAAAGTCCCAGATTGGGCGCCCGCAAACATGGTTATGTATGTGCCACATTCTGTACGTGCCTGTCCCAAGTCAGGAGCCTGTAATTCAGTGGTTGTCTTTTGTTGCTGTGTAACATATTTGTTTTTCGTTTATTATTTTGTACATAAATTAGGCCGTTAGTTTTCTCGTTTGAATTGTTTTACATTTGTCAATTCGGGCATTTCATAGCTGACTGTTTGGTATGGGCTTTGCTCATTGTTGAAGGCCGTACGGTGAACTATAGTTGTTAATTTCTGTGTCATTTGGTCTCTTGTGGAGAGTTGTCTCATTGGCAATCATAAGTCTGGATTTCATTGGTTGTCGTTTGTTGTAGTGTATCATATTTGCTTTTTTAATTGTTTTGTACATGAATCAATGACATGCCGTTGTTTTTGTTGTTTGACATTTTTTACATTTGTCATGTCGGATCCTTGTATAGCTTGCAATACAGTATGGGTGTTTCTCATTGTTGAATGCCGAAGGTTGACGTATATTTTATAACATCTACGTCATTATGTCTCTAATGGATATTTATCTCATTGGTTATCAAACCACATCTTATTTTTTTGTTATAAATATATGACTGTCTTATTTTCTGGAGAATGGCAAAAAATATTTAATTAAACTATGGTTTCGAACATTCGCAAGCACTATTCACATACATCGATCAGAGTTTAACTATATACAATGTCAGTGTTGTCAGAACATTATAATACAAACATGTACATGAAGCTGTGATTGTTTTCTCATGTGTTAGCAAACGGAGTTTGTTCCTGTTCATTGCCTTAAGGTCTCATAAATTTGTGTATTTAAATTTTGCTATTTAAGGGATTTTCTGTTGATTGCATATTGTTGGAAGTCTTTGTTAAATTATCTATTTTTTGAAAATTTAGAGCTTGAAATATTGTAAAAACATGTATCCATTTAGGGAACCAGATTGTTGACCTAGTTTAGCTTTGGTGTTAATTTGGTTGCTGTCGTATTTATAATACACCTTTTATTTACACAAATATCTCTGGCAACGTTTATTTTTTTTACATGTTTATATATATATATACTTGCTTTCAAAATACATAAAGCCCCCATCACACTAGACCAAGACCATGAAGATCCCACTACGATCTTGAATATTCAATATTTCATAGTTTTCACGTTCATACCACGACCTTGCTATGATCCTGATAAGATCCTGCTACGATTCTGCTACGACGGTAACACGTTCTAGTTACGATCTTGTCACGCTCTTACAACGTCTTATTAGACCTTACCACGACTTACACAATCTCTGTACGCTTCTACCAAGACCTTTCCGATCACATTACGATCTCAATACGAGTCTACTACGATCGAACCACGACTCCACTACGTTGTCACTACGCTCTTCGTCCCTATAAATATCTTGACTTTCCCATTGTACACACCAGTTTCTTTGAGAAACATGCCACTATATATAAAAGGTATCAAAAACACTTAGAGGTCGTGGTTCTAAAAGTAGAGGTATCAACAGAATGAGGTCGTGCAATTATCGTGGCTAGGACGTAGCAGAATCGTAGTGAGGTTGTACTGAGGACGACAAGCGCGTAGTAGCAGCGTATAATGGTCTTCCTCAGCGTAGTATAATCGTATCAATATTGTAGTAGAAGCGTAATAAAGACATAGTGAAATCGGGATAGTCGCAGTGAAATCATAGTAAGGTGTGTAATATAATTATCCTGTATAACGATACGCATGAGTGATTAACTGTAACTTTATTGATAATTTGTAACTCAGAAACTGATTTGAAATACACTAACACATTAGTTATCATGGTTATCAGTACGAAAGTTAAAATAATATTTATATCGGAGTGCTGCAAACACAATTGAATAATAAAGACAGAACAAAACTCAATAAATTTGAATCACTTTTTCGTTTGACCATGTGTCATTAAAATATTGATTCATCGCTTCACTATCAACTTGAATGAACGTTTCACTGTCATTTTCATGACATACTATCATGATTCTTTTCCGGCCTCACTTACGGATACGCTCACATATAATAGATGCAGCTCAATAATAACCAATCAGATGGTAAGAAGGCCTTTACTTCATCAAATGTTCTTCCGGAATAGGCTAATATTTACCAATGAGAATCCCTTAACAGATTTATCCCATTGTAACGTGCCCCGTATGACTAATTAGACCGAGTCTCATGTGACTCGGTAATTAATTATGTGGAAAACAAAAGGGCCTGAAATGGTGTAATTTTTAATCAACATCATTGTCCTATATTGGTTATATATAAAGTTGAATTCTTTGATTCGCCGTTTTTACGTCATGCCGGCTAACAAATTGGACCTCGCTATTTTATTAGTATTATAGATGAATTGAATTTACATCAATAAACACAATGCTCAAGTTCTACGTTTTTGCCGCAGACCTTTTCAGAGAATGTCGAAATAAAACTTGCTTTATTTTGTTGTTTTCTAATATCTGTAACGCTGAACTATGTTCATGACGCCGAATAAGCATTGTCAGCCTTGGCTTCGCACGGTTTCTCAGTGTAACAATCTGTTCTATCACCCTCTCAGCTATGTGTTATTTATATAATGTTTACCTTGCTTGTTTTTCCCTTAATACGGCCCAGAAATGTCGACATCACACGTTTGTGTGTTTTTTTTTTTCTTTCTATTTATAAGAGTGCATTTTTTTTAATCTGTCTGGCAATATCTGATTAATTGTAATAACATATAATAAGATTGAGAATGGAAATGGGGAATGTGTCAAAGAGACAACAACCCGACCAAAGAGCAGAAAACAGCCGAATGCCACCAATGGGTCTTCAACACAGCGAGAAAATCCTGCACCCGGAGGCGGGCTTCAGCTGGCCCTTAAATAAAAATATATGTACTAGTTCAGTGAAAATGGACGTCATACTAAACTCCAAAACATATAAATGAACTAAAATTAAAAAATATACAAGACTAACAAAGGCCAGAGGCTCCTGACTCGGGACAGGCGCAAAACTGCGGCAGGGTTAAACATGTTTTGTGAGAAATCGACCCTCCCTCTATACCTCTAGCCAATGTAGAATAAACAAACACATGTAGCAATACGCAAAGTAAAACTCAGTTTAAAAGAAGTCCGAGTCCGATGTCAGAATAGGTAACAAAAGAAACTAAGCAAAATGACAATGATACATATAAGTATGATAATTAAGGATTTTTGAACTACTACTATTTTTGAGGAATTTAAATATTTTTCTATATGGAGATGAGCAAAGGAATTTATTTTTTCAGCAAGAGACATTTTCCATTTTGAAGCCTCATGACTTTCCCTTTGCGGATTTAAGCATGTGCAACGTTAACTGCGGAATCGCAGCTCTTATGGTCCTTATGATATTGTTTGACAATTTGCGAACCATAGAGTCTATGGTCTATGGTCCGCAAATTGTCAAAAATATCATTAGGACCATAAGAGCTACGATTCCGCAGCCTATGGTTTGCAAATTGTCAAACAATATCATAAGGACCATAAGAGCTACGATTCCGTAGCCTATGGTTCGCAAATTGTCAAGCAATATCATAAGTACCATAAGAGCTACGAATCCACAGCTAAGACAACGTGTCAAGTGTCACCAGTTGAGCAAGAACAACTAACTCTGCAGAAGAACCGAAGTTCACCGTTTTTTATGGGTTTCATGTCGATCAATCAATTATAGTTTTCTATGTAGTGTATTGTAAACTGTTTTTTTTTTTTTATCTTTTGACCACGGTTCTTACTTCAACTTAGTTTTTTTAGTTAATGCCTTGATGTCTTTTTACGTAAAAACAGTTTGGACATACTAAAAATGCCAGGAGGGTGTATAACTTGATGGTAGTGGAAATTCTTTATAAACATTTTTAGAATGAATACGAGAAGTTGCAATTCGTGGAATACAATTCTTCTTATAACGACACACACACTCACACACTAATAACAAAAATGAAATTAACACTACCAATATGATGCACCCGACGTCCTTTTCTGGATTACCTACATCAGGAACGATCAAAGCCAAAAATTTGAAAGCAGGATGGATAAATACTGAACCACGCTAACGACCAAAGGATATTAGATGTAATAGCCAATTCAGTCTAACTAAAGGTCAACTTTGCCTGAGTGATTAGAATCTTAGTTTCTTAATAATTTCTGAATTATCAACGGAGAATCATTTAAAAAAAGTTTGTCATAAATCATGTCAGTGTCGAACGACTAACTACTGAGTTGATGCTACCCTCTGGGACTAATAGTCCACCAGCATTGGTATCGACCCATTGCTTGTAAAATGAAAAGAACACTATCAATTTGTTGATAAATCACACTGAAAAAAATAGTTCAAGGTATTGACGAATCATTATAACAGGTTTATATATTTATTGTGTTTAATATATCCAGTTAGGCATGCTATAATAGTTTCATCGTTCAATCTTGTATAAATCAAATTTTACAAAAGGCTACAGTTGTAATTTCAAAGATTGAAACTGTATGGGTACTACAAGGATAGCAATATTAATTATCTAGGCTAAGAACAACTAAATATAAAATGTGGAGATGTGTTATGATATCAATGAGACAACTATACACACTAACCAAACGACATGGATGTCTACGAACAGTTCGATATAACTGTAAGTGCTGTCCGAGAGTATCTGTGGTTCAAGATACGTAGTAAGTGCGTCGGTGCAGAAGGTACAAATTTGAAAGTAGAAAATTTGTAAAAATTTGTGCACAACATATTTATTACGGAATCGTATTATTCGCTAGTTCTTTTGAGTGAGATCACTGTCACTGTCAACGGATGTTTGCCCACTGCAATGGACGATATGTCTCTGATGTATTTTTCGACTATAATGATCTTACATATATATAAATGATCACATCCGTATTCAGTACAGTTAATAGGGACTTAAATAATGAGTTTTAGGGTCTAAAATTTTTCAGACTCTGGTTCAAAAGCAGCATTATCTTTTCCATTGACATGTATTGTCACTACTTCCGGTTTCTCGTCTTCCCTCCTCGGCCAGTGGTATTGTATTAGTGCAATGTAAACATAGCTCGCAATGACGGATCCAACTAATGGCCCAACAATTGGCACCCAAAACCAGTTATAATTTCTGTAACTGTAAATAAAAGTTTAAAAAAAACTTCTTTAAAAGATTACAAAAAATAGAAGAAAAATTTAAAAACACAAGTGACTTCACTCCATGAAACTGTTTTATAAATAAGAAACGAATCACTCAAAGTCAATCAAAGGTCATTGCCAACGACTGTATATCTAGTGTCTGCTTAGTCTGCTAGGGATGATCTTTTGTATCGTTTAGTAACATCGAATTTTCCTTGCTTTCGTCTAGTCCTTTACTTTTGTCTTATGTATTAGTTGTTAAACGCCACATCAATACATATCGGTTCTTTGCATAACATATAATAATTGACTACTGTGGCTAGTAAACAAATAGCACTTTTTGATGATGATGATAATTTATGATAAATTAAACGTAACTTAAAATCAAACAGAAATTTCAAGTTTACGGATTGTGAACAAAAAATAAGAGGACATAATCTTGTCACTAAGTATCCTTAAATACATGTTATTTAAATTACAAACCTGATAGGTTCTAAACCCCAGCCAGCTATTACTGTAAACAGCCTTGGTCCAAAATCTCTTGCACAGTTTATAGCATAACCACAGTTAAAAGCAAAAGATGTCCCGATCGCTGTTACGATCATACCCATTGCTATTGGTATAATGCCTTTTGGTGGCATCATATTCTTCTCGTCAGCTACAGCATGAATGCATCCAAGTAATAAAAATAAAAATGTTGCAAACACCTAAAAAAACAATGAACAATTATGTGATCTCTGAATTTTGATTGATTTATTTGAAAAAATGTTTTTCTAATTTACATATTACTAGGCACATAGTTATGTGAACATATATTTTTCTCGTTTGAATTGTTTTCATTGGTCATTTCGGGGCCTTTTATAGCTTGCTATGTGGTATGAGTATTATTCATTATTGAATGCCGTATTGTGACCTATAGTTGCTAACCTTCTACGTAATTTGGTCTGATAGTTGTCTCATTGGTACTCATTCCACATCTTCTTATTTTTTCTCAAGTTCTATTATTGTGTTATTTTATATATCATTACATCAAAGAAAAAATAATAATTTTGAATCTAATTAAATAGAAAAAATAATTTATGTAACACTTACTTGATCGAAAAATGCATTAGTTGTAGATACGAATTCCTGTGGAAATGTGGAAAATATTCCCGCTGTAGACGTGTTACCATATGTGGACCTTATTCCCCCATCAAAATGGTTGATTGCATCTGTATAATAATAAAACGAACATTTTTAAAGGAGTAGGGGCAATGTCACGACCTAAAGTCAGTGCAAATTCAAAATTACCAGACATGAATTAAAATTTACCTTAACATAACTATGGACAAAGGAAGTTCAGAAAATAAAAACCAATTTCACATATGAAGTGTTAACTATAGCAAATGACCTTGACGAAATGGACATATTTTGTACTTGATTTTTTTTGTTTTCTACCAAATTTCCAGAGTACATTGAAAATGTAGTGACGACGAGGGGGTTTTAAACGACCTTGCCTACCCATGAGGGTCTTGCACGGTCGGTTATGTAGGGGCGCACAAAAATACAAATTTTTATTGTTGGTAGGAATTCTTAAATGGCTATAAGAAAGCTTCTCTATAACTAAATATGTTGATGTTATTTTGCAGTGGTTAATGTTCTACAAAGGAATTAAGGAATTATACTGCATAAAATTACTATTTTTCTTATTTTTTGTGAAATATGCGCATATTATGACATTATTATTACATCATAACATTGTAAAACTTGTATAATTCATTTTTATTTCTTGATTTCATGCATTTCCCTATATTATGGGGTATAAGTTCTCAAAAACTTACATTTGTAAGGCCTAAATGGATCCTTATGCTCTTTTTTATGCATCCGAAGCGATTAAATTTCATGAGGAACGCTCAAACCCGAACATTTGAAAACCAAGCCTCACTAAGGATGTATATTATGAGAGGCTATATTACCGGAAGAGACGTCAAGAGAATAGCTTATATAAGGAAGCTATCGAGACCAGGGTTCCAAGTGTTGAGGTTAAGTCATTCCTTCGAAAGTTTTACGGATACAATTACGAGTTGGTTAACCGTTGTGGACTATCTATGTCACAGATAACCACGTATATGTTCAAATCGTCGATCGTGACATGACAGAATGAGAGTAATCACCGGAAGCATTTAGATTTTTATGGACTTGTTTGCTTTTTCCTCGTCTCTCGTTTTTTTTGCCATGGCCTTGTCAGTTTCTTTTCGACTAATGAGTTTTTATTGTCCCCATCGTCTTCCATTTCATTTAAAAATCGACAGTAAACCAATAAAAGTTCAATCGATTAATTTAAAAAATAATATATATGATAGTGAAACTTATTGCTCTTTGAATTCGAAAATCACAAAGTAATATAAATCTATCAAGTAACACCCAGCAGACGACAAGACATAAGAATGTCAAGTAATGTAATGATATTTCTTAGTTTGTATTACATCGTTGCTTAGACCTTCAAGTTTCTCGCATTTAAGGGGTGGGGGCAAATTTAAAACTAGTAAAATTGCATTATTTTCAGAACTTTGATTGGTATATAGATATGAGCAACGGTCTTATCCAAAAAGATAATTTGCCTCAAGGTGTCTTATACAAAGATGTGAATTTATGTGAAATATCGTGTTTTGATAAGGATGTTTGGTCATACTTTATTTGACGAAAAACTATATATAGAAATAGCCATTGTTGTTCAAGTTTGTCAATTTTGACATGTATACGACTTCACAGTGTCATCACATACTACATTTCTGAACTAAAATGACCAGACTATATCATCCCTTTCATAATATAAAGACAATTAATGTTATATGAAAGGGTTAAAGAAGTATTAATATTTTTGTTATGTTAGAGGTAATTCCGATAATTATATTTCCATTTTGTAGAGAATTACAGAAAACAGCGTCAAACAGCACTGCCTCTTGTTTATACTTTTCAGTTGAAAAATGAAATTCATGTAGCGTGTTGGAAATCTACTTGGTGTCCTTGGCACAGCCATTAGTAAAGGAAAAAAAAAACGCTTACTCTTTGTCTTTCTATTTACCAAGGTGTTAGATATAAGAAGATGTGGTATGAGTTCCAATGAGACAACTCTCCATCCAAGTCACAATGTGTAAAAGTAAACCATTATAGGTCAATGTACGGTCTTCAACACGGAGCCTTGGCTCACACCGAACAGCAAGCTATAAAGGACCCCAAAAATGACTAGTGTAAAACCATTCAAACGGGGAAACCAACGGTCTAATCTACATAAAAAACGAGAAACACTTATGAACCACATCAACAAATTACAACTACTGAACATCAGATTCCTGACTTAGGACAAGTGCAAACAAATGCAGCGGGTTTAAACGTTTTAATAGGTACCAACCTTCACCCTTATCTGAAACAATAGTGTAACATCACAACATAAAAAGACACTATAAAATATCAATTGAAATGGCTTAACTCAATATAAAGACATATTATCACAAGTGAACATACACTGAACGAATAAATTTGATCTATGATACAATGTAAATACAAAATCAATAAAATAAGGGGTGAATAAATATACAATATATGTACATTGTCGGAAAATATAAAATTTATTTGTATGAGCTTTAGAAACAGGACGAAAAGCGAGGCTCGCCGAGCTTTTCTCCTGTTTCGCAGCGAGTACAAATAAATTTTATATTTTCCGACAATGTACATATATTGTTTTTATCCTGAAATTTACACCCAACACTTGAAACTTTAGTTGTTAAAATCTAAATCATTGTCTCTAATTTTTCAAAGAAATCGACATAGCTTAAACGCGGACCGCGAAGAGGACCCCAAAATGAACTGGTACGCAAAAAGAAATATCCACATTACCGCTTGCTCAACATGGAAGCGGGGGTAACAGGAGACTTTATTTGTACAAGTACAAATAAAGCAAAAAATTATGTGTATACCTGTTATTTGTACAATAGGTGGCTGACTGCAGGATAAATAAAGGCAACAGTAGTATACCGCTGTGAGATGTTAAAAAATTTTAAAAAAAAACAACAACCACCTTGAACTAAAAACCGCAAAATAAAATAATATACACAGGTAAATGAAAATAATTTTGTTGAAAGGTATACAGTCTGAATGGAGAACGGAATTATTTTTTACAAAATAAATAATTTTGTTGGTCATAGTAAGAAGAAGCGAAAATTTTATAGTCATACCAAACACTTATCAAAGCTGGTATATAGACGATATATAACCTTGAATAAGTAAACACTAAATAACAAAAAAGCATTACAAATAGTATCAACAGGTCAAATTACAGGACAGTACGATTTGAGAGTACTCGCAGTTACTGACAGCTAGTTAAAAGCCAAAAACAATTAATAATAAAAAATCATGCATCAGAGACTAAAATCAACTAAAACACATCCCAGGGATTTAGTATTTTAACGTCATGGACAGTCAAAGAAGACATGACTTGGAACTTTTTTATTTGTATACCCTCTTTGGAGTTTGTTTTCATTTTATTTTTTAAATCCGTGACCTTTTTGGCAGTCTTCAATTATAAATATAGATACCATGATATATTCCAAACTGAACAGCTGCTGCCACAAATGATCCTGCTAACTGTGCTATACTGTAGAGGGGCCATTTCCACCAGGCAGTTTTACCCATTATACAGAAACCAAGAGTAACTGCTGGATTTAGATGCCCTCCTAAAAGAAACATACCACCATGATACTATATGTTTTAATTTTCCTATACACATTTACACTCTGAATACATGAATTTAATAAATAGTAAGCATAAAAACACCACAGAAGTTCGTATGCATTTCATTTAAGTGCCTCTACTTATATCTATGATAATGAGTTTTCAATGATTTTATATATAATGTTTATTGTCATAGAGTTTGGTTTTTATCGGTGCTTCTATTTTTAATTTTCGAGTAGTGTGTTGTACTGAGATTATTTTTAAAATATACATGTAGATTTTTCTATTCCCTTTTAATTCACCAAAATTAAAAGGTGTGCGTCCCTTTACTCTGCGTGATTTGTAAATACATGTACGAAGCCAACGTATGTGCTGTTGTGCTTTTAAGCTGTGATAACTGTCATAGTAATCAGTGTTTATATTTTGCCTCAGTTCCGAACAAATAATCTAAGAGTGGTACGCTATAGATGAGGTTTTCAATATAAATCATTCAGAATCATTTCTAACGCTTGTCATAATCTTCATTTGACTTTGTCTATACCTAATATAGCTGTAATGTCCGTTGACAAAAAATCATCAAATAATATTTAATTTTTCATAAACGCTATATTACAGAAAAGAATATAAAATGATGATTTACAGATGTACAGCAAAGCGCTTTTACAATTATATGTTATTTAAAAATCAATCTTAGTTTCTTTAATAACTGCTGTCGCAATTATCTTTTAAATTCGAAAACTAATGGTTTACGACACCGGAAATATGTCAATTTTTGTTTAACCTTTTTGTTTATATACATACCAGATACGCCACCACTAAAGTAAATGCCAAATGTCAGCCCAAGTCCGCCAGCAATGTTAAGAGATAGAAAATTGCCCATTTGTCCATTACTGAGTGTTAATTGAGCACCGGCTCCTATGGCAAAAGTCTGAAACAAAATATCTAATATATTGTTAAGATCATTTATCCAAAAGCCAACCCCATATGTACTGGTTAACATATACGAATCTTTAAGGCTTATTTAATGAGATCTCAACAAACCGTTTGAACTTCATGCAATTTTTATTTTTGCTAAGATACAATATTTTGCTCATACCACATCGACTTTGTTATTTCCTCATTGGAAAAAGAATGTAGAAACTGCCCAACTGTCTGTAATCTGGTATCAAGACGTACCCCTTAGAATTTTTTTTAGGTACTAGAATATTCAAATTTAATAAGATGATTTAATTATCTCGTCGAAAAACACTTTTTTGTGGTTCTGTTATTTTGATATGTTTTTATCTTCCACTAATGAAAAAAACCTGAAAGATTTTAGGATAGATTTTTTGATAGTTTGCCAAAATGTAGTTTACATCATGCTTTTGTCAAAAATATAATAAAAAGAATGTGTCACGAAGCTACAGGTTTTGCAAAATTGTCAGATTTTGTATAGATCATGCATGGCAAACCCAATTTTTCGTAATAAAAAGAAAAAACTAAATGATAGAATTTAAAGATAAAATATGAGAGGAAAGCTCTTATAATGTACTTTCAGAAAAGAAAACGGAAAATTGGGGTCACGGGACTCGTTTTCTTGCTACAAAAACAAAATAGGTAAATTCATAACACATTCCTTTATAAAAGTTACATTATCTCTTAGTAATCTTCCCTTATATGACAAAGTTGAAAAAATTGAATCAAACGTAAAATATTCTGATTTTGTTTTTAAAAACAGTCGTGAAAATATGATAAAACACATAATTTTTTCATTGAGATGAAAAGTCTTACAAATGAAATACATACTTCTTTCGAAATTTGCACATTTTAATAAAGATCTAGACCGATTGTTTTCGGCTATTTTACAATCAAAGATGGAGAAAGACACCCGATCTACCTTAAAACTAAAATAAAAAAAATTTATAATTAGATATCTTATTATTATTTTTGTAAATTCTTAATACAATTGAAGTTCTGATTCGTACTTTCTTTAAAAGATTTAATTGAAAAGAAGAGATATTGTTTATTAAGTCATGACACAAACACCAAAAACAAAGGAACGGTTGGTGGAAGCAAGACTATTTTGGATTATAAAAAGGCGACCTTCATTACTGTGGTTTATTGAGCATTACTTAGTATATTATGAATGAATTTATCACTAAGATAACGAAATAGTTTTATCCTACAATATCATCAAATATGGGAATGTTGATACGATTCAATTTAATTTAAGTAAATATTTATTGAAAAGGTCAAAACAGCATACCATTGAATTATCGTTAATATCGAGCCAACTAGAAGTGAGAAGACAAGTAGTCTTCGCTTGACCTCTTAATCTCGTCAACTACCTGTTTTTGGAGGTTTTGTTATTTTATCCATTTTTTTCTTCCACTTATAAAATTTTTTTTTTTAAATATGTTATTATTCCTTTTAGCCCTGTCAATGATGAGTAAAAAGTTTTTAAATAAACCATCTTACAGTTCAACGGTATTTGTTGAAAGTTGCCTGAAACATCGCGCGACAGAGTCAAAATTTGTCTTTAAAAGTTCTCGGAGTCAGTAAAATTAGCGAAATAAAACCGTACGTTATCGTCTATAGATTGGAAATTATATTATATTTATATCTGTTAATTTGATTAGACTTACATTGACCATCAACGTAATTGATGATCATTTAAGAAAACTTAAGAGGTGCAAACAATATTATAATGTTTCAAGCCTATTTCGGCACTACTTTCATAGTTTTTATTAACCGAAATTTCCCTGGAAAGCAGTTTCTCCAACACTAGTCAGGAATATGTTCGCCTATTGATGCAGAAAATTCCAAATGTTAGATTATAATTTTACGCATTGAATTTATGGTTAATGAATCTCCAAGTGTGTCCCTTAAATGCGAAAATAGTATAAAACCAGTTATCATAACTTAATGTAGAACAGGGATTAAATTTTCTTGCAAATGGAAAGTTACTTGACAGCATTCAGGTTATGTTGAATTGTAACTAAGCTGTGTAAAAGAAATATTTCTTATTAAACTAAACTTTTTATTAAACTCTGAATTAATTTTTGTTTTCTTTATTTGGTCGTGTGTTTCGACCATTCTTTTAATGTTTATACCAGAAAAGCGAGCTATCTATATAAGAATAAGGAGATGTTGTATGATTGCCAATGAGACAACTATCCACCAAAGTTCAAATAAAGTGGATGTAAGCGATTATAGGCAACCCTGGTCGTACGGCCTTCAAAAATGAGAAAAAAACCCATACCGTATTGTTGGCTCCTGACTTGGGGCAGACATATAAAGAGTGTGACGGGGTTAAACATGTTTCTGGCGTCTTGATTTCAATATCAATATTTGCAAACAGAGGAATAATTATGATTTAATCTTTTATACTTATTGTACATGTGTTCTAATTTACTCCTCAAATACCGGAATTTGTTTCTTTAAATTGAAAAAGAGATTTGTACATGTAATGTATTTTTTTCAATTATTATATTATTGAAACAAGAGAAAATTAAGTGATAAGAAAAAAAGTTAAACCTGCCACATGTTCAGTGAGGCGTAATACCACCAAACCATAGTGTGTCACATCCGGTTTCATGCGAAAAAGGGTAGAAAAAAAACCATTCCGTTGATTTTGACAGTTGTAAGAAATTAACCCTGCAATTTATTGCATACATTTTGATAACAACTGTCATATTCCTGACTTGGTACAGGCATTTCCTTATGTAGAAAATGGTGGATTAAACCTCTCACTTGTATGACAGTCGCATAGAATTCCATTATATTGACAACAATGTGTGAGCAAAACAAACAGACGTAATAGGTAAAAATTTAAAAAATTGGGATACAGCAGTCAACATTGTGTTATAATCTTAATCACTATAAAACAAATAACTATTGCAACAAAGAAAAACAAAATGGCATATAGACACTCTATAGACAAAGTGTATAGCAAAAATGAAAGACAAGAATACAAAAATTGACCATAGCAAAATGACACAAAATTGACCATTGCAAAATAACACAATGGCGGGACGTATAAGTACCTAGCCACACCTATGTGAAATTAAATGATCTGACTTCTTTGATCTTCTTGTTTTTGACAAGTGTCTGAAGGAACTCCGGCTCATACGAAAATAAGAATAAGAAACTCCAGCATACTGATCACTTGTTCACCTGTATTACCTTTTTGTTCACTATTAACAAAATATGCCGTATGGTATTCCAAAACAATAAATTTCTAGCGTATGCTACAATTTTTATATTTAAAAGCATTTTACAAATTGTGACTTGGAATGAGAGTTGTCTCATTGGCACTCATACCACATCTTTTTATATATATATAGTGTGGATTATTTCTTTTAGACGATTTTTTCAATTTCACTTGGGTAATGGTGGTATACAGGGTTGATAAATTATCAAGAAGTTCTTAAGAGTTTTTTAGAATCCACATACTAGTATCATATCGTATCATATAGTAACGTGTTTCACATTATTCGCGTACGCTAGATCAACGCGTTGATGTTTAACAGGGAATGTGGTTCCATTCCTGTAGGGAACGTAAATCATAGGAAAACATGTCACCCCAATTACGGACTAATAGAATTGGCTAATCAAATGGAGTTTATAATTCAATCAAAATGACATCAGGCGACAGACTAACAGAAGACTTCTATAATACTAATGCCTGAATACAATACTTGTCTGAAATGGGCACTAAATTTGCTTTTAACATCATTCAGAAATTGCCTCGTATTTGTGTCCTTCGTTTTAAATTGGAAATTAAGGGCAACTTTTACTGGTTAGAACATATTTTTGAATTCCTAGAACAGACGAGTTAATTACAAACATAAGGAACATCGTTAACGTCGTAAACAACTTCGAACGTACAATAGTTGCAACGCCTTGCTTTAAGTAACGTGAAGGAACTTTAACGCGTTACTCTAGGCTACGTGAACTTACTTGTACGCGTTGCTCAAGGTTACGCGAGCCAACATCAACGCGTTGCTATAGGGTACACAAACCAACTGCAACGTGTTGCTCTAGGGTACGAGAACAAACTGTAAATCTTTTCTCTAGGGAACGTGTCAAAAATAGCATTGTGGCCCGAATGGTCCTTCATAGTCCCAAACTCTTTTGGAAATTAGAAGTTGCTTGGGGTAGTGTAAAGACGCTTGTCTATTGATGACGTCAATATTTTGACCCCTTAGCCTCTTAAGTTCAGATTATTTGTGATGTTTGGTTGTTCACTCGTTTACATTTAGCCCCACAACTCTTTTTATTCACAGACGTCAAGTCAGAACAAGGTAATTTTTAAATGATATTCACAATACTACTAAAATGTCACAGTCGCCCATTCAAGGCAATTACAGATATTTTAGTTATAGTTTTATATTATGAGTTTTGGTGTGTACGTATACTATGTCAAAGTAGGATAGCATGCCAAAACTAAAAAGCCGAATATTTATCTTGCAAGATTTCAAGATTATATAAACAGTCGTTTTTTTTTTTTTTGTTCATTGTGACACCATTTAAACAATCCACACGTGCGAATTGGAATGCTCTCTGTATGACCTTAAATTTCGACCTTTGTGTGTTCATCATAAGTCACAAGGTCAATCTCAATATTATACATTTTAATTCAGTTTTAACTTGATTTAAATCCTTTTTTGAATTATATTCAAAACATTAAATAATTCCAGCTGCATCTATATTGCCGGGCGCATTGCATTTGCGCCAATTTTTACAAAATCCAATCTTTCATTTGCGCCACAAGGTTATATTTCATTTGCGCCAAAAAAAAATGAAAAGTACGTTTGAGCCATTTTACCGGTAACATATACCGGATACCGGAAAAGTTTATATGTTCATTTCTATATCGTGAATCACAACAACTCAGAATCAGAGTTTGAAAAGTATCTGGTAACATTACTGACAGACCATCAAAGA